TTTTGTGCAGGTTGAATAAGGTGTTTGGTGTTTAAACCTAACAAGGAGAAGAACCTGTTATATCCCAGCATCAGTTGAAGTTCGTGCAGTTTGTTTGGCAGGGAACGCACGTAAGAGAGGATCATGCCTGGTAGCGCTGAGCGAAGACTGTGCTTGTGGTGCCGCAGGAGTGCCCCAGCGCGTTTTTCCTCTCTTCTGGTGTTTCACTGCGTGAGCAAAGGTGAGCAAAGTTGAGCGCACCTTTGACCAGAGTGTCCAAAATTTCCAGCGTAGGAAGAAGAAAAGTGGGGAATAAATCCTGTGGTGATGTTGCCCTGATGTTCATGAGCTCTTCTCTTGTGAAAGAGCTCCGGGTAGCATCGCAAATACCAGAGTTAAGTAGTATAAAAAAACTAAAAAGTGCGCACCAACACACCGCCATCTGCGGCGCCATCAGGAGATGGACAAACTGATGGAAGAAAGAGGTGATCAAAGGTAAGAAGTGGTCGAAGCAAGGTTGAAGATTAAGGGGGTTTAGAAGGAAGAATTGAGTATGATGCAGAGAAATCTATTGGAGGGTCGGAGACAAATGAGATTACATGCAGGCGGGGGTTGGATGGGATTGGTCACTGCTGAGGCGGAGGGAAGAGAAGTGAGGCAGCTAAATGAGATGTTTAGATTTGAGTTAAACGCAGTGTGTCCTCCAATTAACTGATGTAAATAGCCTTCTGCCTGCTTATTGGAGAGTAGCCGCTAGGAACAGCAGTGTGGGTATTGTGCGTAATCAACTTGCTGTTAGGTAAAAAGCTAGTGTATCTGATTGGATGCAGTAATGCAGCTTAAAGTGGCTTTAAGCTCCTGTTTACTTTCTCTGTTTTTACTCTTGGGTGAAAACTGAACATGATTATGACTTTGGTGTCAGGGAAGATAAGAACAGCCTCTAGGCTTGTTAGAGAGACTGATGGGCATGAGATCTTTAAATAGAGAAAGTCTAGAAGGTGGAAAATATGTCAGATTAGATTAGTGGTGGTGATGACCAGAAACAGTCTGGGAAGCTTAATGAGAATTGAGACCTTGGATAAAAGATTGATGATAGTCAGGTTTTACATTTCAAAGGTAGACTGTAAGTTGCAAGAACCCTGCTGATGGTCTGGCTTCGGTTTTAATTAAATAGTTAGAATATTAAAATAATGAGGGATGAAAAACATAACAAAAGAAAAATACTATGAAATTACTGATATCAAGAGGAGGGAAAGTTACTTGTTTTTTTTTTTGTTTGTGTTTTTTTGTGTTTTTTTTACAGTGTCCTGTCTGGTGATGAGGCAATAAGAATAATTGTCTTGATGCCAAAAAGAGCAGAACAGATTTTACTTTAACAAGTGGAGCAGTACAGCTATCGCCATAGTGTTCCGCTTGTTTTATGCATATAAATTACTTTATTATAATTATGCAGGAAGTTTTACAGATTATATGGACACTGCAATGTAAGTAGAACAGGAAAGGAAAAACAAAAAAAGGAGAAAAGATTAAATAAAGAGGAGATAAAAGGGAGATAACAATAAAACATTTTCAGTCTGCTTCATCACCTGCAAAGAGATGTAAAAAGAACAGCATAACTAACAGACATGGTACAAGATATAAAATAAAGTAACACCTAGATCCCATCGCTGAAATATAAGTAGTATTATTTAATCTGACATGTATTCTGTGTTACCTGACAATAAGAATGTGGGCTTTCTATGTTTAAGTGAATCTCTGAGTACCTGGAACCAAGCACCTGTGGTGTTTTGTGAAAGTACACTTATGCATGTAAAGTTTATCCAAAGAAAAAATGCTCAATAGTGGTTGTGAAGAGT